TTTTGCAGTTTTCTTAATACAGAGTTTTTGCAGTTTTCTTAATACCCAGAGACTGGGTAATTTTACTGACCCACTGTAACTATTTAAGTAAAGAGAAAACACTTCCTTACGTCTGAGTGTAGCCTTCTGGCTGGAAGCATGGATCCCATCCAAAATCTCGAGGTCCTCTTGGATCCACTATATGTCCCTATAGGGAAAAGAGATGTTTAATGTTGAATTTTCATTCACAGTTGGGCTTTACATAAAAATTAGTTCAGTGTGAACCAGGCATTGACTCTGGGGAATTTGTTAACAACTCCAGAGAAGGCTGGAGGGAACTATAAAGGATTGGTTGCCTTTTCACATTCACACATTAGTTACTTAATCTTTTCTTAGTAGTTAATCATTGCTGTATCTCTCAACGCTAAGAAATATTGCTAGACAAAATGACAAAATCAACCAGTGGGTCCTATCTATCTCCTACTATCCTGTCTGGGTTTTTCTTGTTCTGGAAGAGTTTTAATTCTCAGCATTGAGGTTTGCTTATATTTGCTTATGTTTGGTGTAAAGAATGTCCAAATTCTCAAAGTACTGGCTATTAAATATTGGCCTACAAGAACCCAAAAAGTTTTGTTTTCCTATGGACCAAGCTACAAAATTCAAACCAACAAAAGAAGAGAGCTGACAAAGAAAGAAATCAGCAAAATAAACAGCTTATTATTTCTGAAGCAAATAAGTCACATGCAGCAGGACGTTAACATAGTCCACAGGAACAGGGCTGGTCAGTTCATGGTCCATGCCCTCCATGTGGCCCTCGACAACCCATTTATTGCTCCTCAGAATTCTAAGAAGCATAGCTAAAATTCAGCAGCACAGGCAGCCATTTTTTGGCAGGGAGAATTTTGTTGTTCCTTTTCGACCATTAACCTGCCCCTGCAAAACTTGAAAAAAAAAGCCAACACTGGCAAAAATTTGATGATTTGGGGAGGTGCATTTTCCATTTAAACTCTTCCAGCAGAGAGCCTCTGCAGTAGTTCAGGAGTTTGACCCAGTAGAATTTGCTTGCCCGCACCCTAAAATGAGAAACACTGCACCCCATAAAGAATAATCAGATGAATCAGAGAGGATAACTCCAGATGATACCATCACCCTTCCTTCCCAGCTCAACACAAATGTTGAAGTGTGGCTACAGTTATCAAGCAGTGATACTCAATTCTGTTCATTCATCCTGGCAGAGGTGCACTCATACCTAAGCAGGCAGCTGCATGGAATGACAGTAATTAAACAACTAAATTGGAAACAAGGAACCTCCATAGTAGGTACTGTTGAGATATTAAAGCTGTAAATGTACCTAGAAATATGTCCCACTGCTATCAGTCACCTCAATCTACAGAGTAAACCAACCAACTTAATTTACTTTTCTTCATTCCTTCCCACCTACCTACCTGTACCATTTTTATATTTTCTATAAAATAAGTTTAGTTATATTCTCCCTGTATGTGATAATACCAGCCTACTTTGGGGCACTACTCAAAAAATAAATGAGATACCACTGGTGAAGCACTTGAAGATGTTAAGATGTTATGTGTGAATGCTGAAAGTGGCTATTATGCCAAGAAAAGGAAATACATAATCCAGTTAACTGAACTAGTAGCTCAATTCCTCAGGTCTTTCTTATTTACTAATTCAGACAACCCAACATTCTCATACACACATGAGTCTGGCCTTTGAATAACTTTACAGGATCTTCTGGATTTCCATTGCTGAAGGCAAAGGTGCAGAGAGCATAAGCAGATTTATCTTCAAATCCTGCTAACAGTTTGTAGAGACCTAAGCAATAAGAAAAAAGAAAGCCGTATGATTTCTTCTGGAGTAAATTTTGTTTGCAGGAAGAGGAGCTGTGTGGGACACAAAACAGCAGTTCACGTATTTTGGAATTTGAGTAGGTATCCTTATGTGTAAGCCATATACAGTATATCAAGCAAGAACCAATAGGACCACTGGCTTTTCTATCATCCTAGGACATAATGCTGTTTAAAATTAAATCAATAATTTTTCTGTTCCTATATGCACACTGCCATTATGGCAGAGGAAATACTTTTACATATATTTAAATAAATGATGCCAGCACAGGTTTATGAAGAAATGGCTAAATCAGATCTAAGATACAGAATGTTAGGACCAATTCTGCCAAATGGGTGCCTTACTATTAAATCAGATAAACACTTAAAGCCTTTCTAGTATTTTACAAGCTATCCTAGCTTTCTACTGGAAAGTACCATTAAAAGCAGAATTGAATAGGACAGAAAGTATCTGCAAATACAAACCAAAAGGAGAGGATGGAAGAATGGTAGCACACAGAACACTGGAAAGTAAAATCAGGAATAAAAGCATGCCACTTTAAAAATGGAAGTAAGAGAAATGCAGAGTTGTGCATAACCAGATGTGGGTTATGGCAAGGCCAGCAAAACTGCAATGTTGGCAAGACAGAGCATCATTTGACACTTGAGTAACAGCAGACTAGTTCATGCAGGGAGCAGCCCAATCCCAGAACCAAGTTGATGTGAAAGCAAAGACTGAATTACCTTCTGGCTTTAGCTTTTCTAGGAACCATTTTCTGAAACACAAATTCAGGCAAAAATCATATTCATTATCGCAAAAATAATAAAAACACTTGAACACTATTCAACAAGCAAAGCAAAACCAAAATCATCTGTTAAATAAGTAATTAAGTTACCAAGTATTTAATTCAAATAACAGCTCTGTTTCTGTACAAGAGTTCCAAGAAAGTGTACAGTTTAAAGTAGAACTATTAAAATCTCATAGAAAACTAAACAGAAATAAAAGCCCTAACAATAAGTAAAATCCAGCAGAGATATAAAAGTAATAGTGAAAACACTGGTGCTAAGCCTGGCAAATTCTTGTCCAGCAAAACTAATACAGTAATGGCATGTTTGCACTCTTTTACTGTCTGCCTTACTAGAAATACAAGAAATCAAAACGTAAGTTGAAATAAAGGTTTGCTTAACAAGAGTTTATAGTGGATTCCTCTTCTCGCACTGCAATGGGAACTAAAAATAAAATGTAAACACATGGGCACAGCATTTCTTGTTTAATAGTCCAGCTGGATTAGGCCAAAGGTCACCCAGTTCAAGATTCTGTGCCTCACTGAGGCCAATGGGGTGCATTTTGGATGCTCACAAGCCTGGTTGGTGGATGATAGCCCCCTTCCACCATCATGTCTCAGTAAGCAGTATTTAACCCATGTTGCGCATGATTCAGTAGGCGTAAATGGTCATCAGTACTAGTAAAGATGGATACACTTATCTTCCATGAAACTGCCCATTCCCTTTTTAAAACTGTCCAACTTGGCTGTCATTAACACAACAGTTGGCAAAAACCATCACAGTTTAATTACGTATTTTGTACAATGGCATTTTCTTCTATCAGTCTTGAATCTTCCTGGATTTAGTTTCAGTGGATGTCCTCAAGTTCTAACAGAGTGAGGAGAAAAACATCTATCTATTCACATCATCTATATTATGCATTGTTTTATATTCTCTATCATGTTTCTCTTTATTCTCCTTCATTCCAAACTACAGAACCACAATCAGTATAGTTTTTCCTCATAGGGAAATAATTGTGATTTCCTTTTTTTTTGTACCTTTCCTAGTTTTGTCATTCATTCATTTTTGTGCCTTTGACTCAGTCTTGACTCTTGGCGACTGCATGGACAAGTCCCTGCGATTTTTTGGCAAGGTTTTTTGGAAGATATTTGCCATGGTGTTCTTCCTAGGGCTTAGAAAGAATGATTGGTCAAGGTCACCCAGCTGGCTTTATGCCTAAAGCAGGACTAGAACTCATGTTCTTCTGGTTCTAGCCTGTGCCTTAACTGCTACACCAAACTGACTCTCTAGTTTTGTAATATCCCTTTTAAAGTGTAGTGTCCAGAAATGTTCATAATACTAAACTGTACAAGGTGGTGGTGGTAGGGTTTCTAATAATTCATCAAAGCATTCAGGAAATAACGTGCTATGCTTAACAATCACAGTCCAAGTACTCTGACTTCAAAACCCCATTTCATCAATCTATAGTAAAGGAGAGAAAGAAAACAATGGTATTCTACTGGTTCAGCTGAGAGACCCAGTAACTATACTTTGAGCTTCGTGTACACTTATAACACTAGTCTAGGCTGCTAGGCTTAAGTCTGTAGTCAATATAGAAAGGTTAACATAAAGTAACTGAGGTATCGTTAATAGATTCTACTGCACAGCTGCCAAGGAATTGTTGAAGGTTTTATTCTGCAACATCTCATAGATGTTTAGAATTTAGAATTGCTAGGCAGTTTTGTAGTCCCAAGCCTAGTAGATTCAATAAAGTTTGCAGTATATTCAGAAGTCACACTGTTGTCAATGGAAGTTATTCTCCTGAATAAATGTCATTAAAAGTATAGCCTTAATCATAGGGCTACAGTCCTATATAGTCACACTAAACTCAGGACTTATTTTCTAACTGCAGTTGCTAAAGAAGGACTACTTGTATGGCTTTTCCCCTCTCATTTGAAGGGGAAAAAGTGCTTTGAAACACATGTAGTTGCTCATGTAGCACCTGTTAGCTGCTCCTTAAAATAACTGCATCTTTTCTCAAGACTGCCCACTGCAGCATAATCCCAGGAAAAAATGTGCCTGCTTTCAGAAGTTGCCAACAGGTTTTATGTGCATGCCCACATGCACTCCAAAGTATATAGTTTCTCCCAAATCTGAAGCATTGTACAACTTTTTTTTTTTTGTATACAGGGACATCCAGTTATGTGTGAAGTAAAACAGTCCAAGCACATATTCAGACCTCTGCCTTCTCCTACTTACATATATGGCCCTGGGAGACCTCCAAGAGCAGTGAAACACAGACAGGTGTCTTCTACTATAACTGGTCCCTGGATCTGTTAAGGAAAACATAATAAAAGCTACTAAGAAACAAAACAGCAATGAAAATCTACTAAATTAATTTTTGGAAGTAGCCCCACATATTGTAAATATGCCTTGTAAAAGTTTTAAGCAATTTACTCATCCCAAATTAATCTCCGCAACACTAATTGTGACAGCAATAGTATAATTTGCAAATTTGTTGCAGGAACCACAGTTAAGAATGTGTATACTGTAGATGCCAAATGGAAATAAACAGAATGCCCTCATACTTGGGGCTCAGCATTTTTAAAGATGACTGTGATACAACGGTAATCAGAGCTAACATAATGTCATAGCAGCAAGAGAAATTTTACATTAACCTGCTACATGGGTACTGTAGTCATTACATATAACTGGAATCTTATTTTTTCCAGTGTTACAATTGCCTTTAATTGAATGGGCAACTGAGTCCTTTGAGTTGTTAAGAGTTTCTAAATACAATTCTAATCATGTCTCATCATTATAAATATAAAATGTATGATAGGCTGCTGATAATTTCTTGTTCATAACCATGTAGACAATTTTTGGAAAAAATATGGAATCTATCACAGAAATGATAAAAGGAGAGGGAGGCAATAGCAAAATACACACATGTCAAATACAGTATGATACAAAGAGATCAAATTGAATCTTTTAACCATACAGCCAAACATTAAACATTATTTCAGAAATCATTATCAGAACCTGTTTAGCTGCTTCCTGGCATTTCTGGATAGAAATATCATCAGGCTCCCCTTGGTACTCGGGTACTATGAAATTAAAAAAAAAAAAGAGCAGTTAGTGCTGAACAGTAGTTTGCTAAGATACCAGAACCAATGAAACACAAACTCACAGTCTATTTTCTTTGCAACCAGTTTGTATGGAAAGGAGTCACCTAGAATCTGAATCACCTGCAAGATAAAGTAGAGCAGTTAGTTTTGCTACTAGTAAGCTTTCACAACAGTTTAATCTCTTAACCATACCCTGGACAATGTGGCAGTGCCTTTATTATGGACTATGCATTTCTGAGAAGCCCAAATAGCACATTCTCTTCTCATATTTCAGAAAATGGGCAAAACCTTCCTACTTCATCAAGTATTCATCTTCACTGGCTGTGGACACCCATTTGTGCATCTATATATCTGTTCAATTTATTTATATGTAGTAGTAGCTTTTTCTGCTTTGCTTTTACTTTTTTCTACATAGGCAAGAGTCATTTGAGCTGTTAACAAATATAGGATAAAGAAATTTTCTTCTGGGGATGGTACTTCTAGACTGACAGTTCCTAGTGATGTCAATCAAAAAAGTTTCCCCATCAGATTATTTTTGGATTTAAAATATGAAGAAAAAGGTGGGGAAAAAACACAACAGTGCTACAAATAGAAGATGCCAATGACTGGACCTATATAACGGAGGGTTTTAGATTAAAACTTCATTACTTTCTGCCAGCGTTTGCTAGGGTTGCAAAAATACAGATAACCCCTAGATGGCAGCAAAGAGATATAGAAGACTTGGTTGTCCGGACTTTTGCAGCTCAGAATGGATAGCCCAAGCATTGCAGAATTTTGCTCTAGCACTGAAGCAATCAACTCCCTAATTTTCATAACCAACGAACTCATGTTCTGCCTATTTGTGAGTCTTGTTGGAACATACAGTATGTAGAAATCCCGACCCTTCCTAGGGCTGGCCCCGTGTCATTCGTTAGCCTAAAACAGTGTTTCTCAACCTCAGCAACTTAATATGTGTGGACTCCAACTTCCAGAATTCCCCAGAATGCTGGTTGGGGAATTCTGGGAGGTGAAGTCTACACATCTTTGCTGAGATTGAGAAACACTGGCCTAAAAGTATCAAGTTCACCGTTCGCAGCAACAGAAACACAGCTAAGTGCTAGCCAATGCCATCACCCATCAGGTTTGTTAATGACAGCAGGAAGCCACGGAAGGCCGCTGCCCACCTCCTCCAGTTTCTTAACGTTGCCAGTGACAAACACCACACTTCGCCCAGCCGCCGGTATCATCGCCATCATGCCCTAGCGCCTGCGCAGTTTCTCAACCAATCACATCTCCTGAAATCCTCGGCATTCCCCGAAGCAGCCTTTCATTCCGAAGACGAGCGAGCTTTGACGGCATACGACGAATCACGCTGCTGGGGGAGGAGCCCATTGTAGAGCAAATGCTGAAATCCATTGGACATAAGGGGCAAAGATGGAAGGCCTGGACAACCAATGAGCTTTGAGCGTAGAGGAAGGGCTTGGGGAGGAAAAAAAATGTGGGAGGATGGAGACCTCGAAGACACTTCCGGCGTGTTTTTCGCTCGTGCGGGCGGGTACTCGTGGCCTTTGCCATGGAGGAGCTACGGTTGCTGCCGAGACACGCTCGAGATTTTGCTTCGTCGGAGTATTGGGAGCGGTTCTTTCGGGAGCGAGGCGAACGCGCCTTTGAGTGGTATGGAGAGTGGCCAGGACTCCGATCGACTTTGGGGCGGTACCTGCGCCCTAGGGACTCGGTGAGACTTGACAGACTCGGGGAAGAGCAAAGTTAGGGGAAAGGAGGGGACTTGCAGGTTCGCATTCAGGTGGGCAGGGCATAAGCTTTATTCAGTCAAGGCATTACTCGGCTCCCAGAGGAGTTTTCAATTATCAGAGGTCAGTCAAAGGCTGTGTTCGCACGAAAAGTTTAACAGGTTATAATTAGTTGAACTATAGTTTCCTCAAGCCAACTTTCGGAGCTTCGTTCGAGCCACTTAACCATAAGTTAATCACACTGGCTGGACGTACATCGCAACACACTGAACAACTAGCCAACCACCACCTTTTTGGTTACCTTATAGTGTCAACAGAGTCCCTGCATTCAGGTTTGGCACCTAACATCTAGGAAGGAAGAAAGAAGAAGCTCAAGAACTAGTTCTAGGTTTTAAAGTCAGTTTTTGCCCTGATCATTTTGGATGAAAGCAATTCAGACAGCCTTACCAGAGGCTGTGATTCTGGTAACTCTTGATTCTTTTCTCCTTAGGCATAGGATGGAGAGAAGAATTGTTAATTTTAATTTGTTTGATTTGGTAACCACCTAATAGAAAGTTTCATAAAGAAAATCTCTTTACGGTCATGGGATTTATTCCAAAATAAGTGTTCTGCAGTGTGCATTTATTTAAATACATTTATTATGTATTTAAAACCTTTATACATCACTCTTCTGCTGGAAAGGCACTCCAGTAGCTGACAGAATAATATTAGCAAAACAGTCTCTACCCTCAGTTTTACAATTTAAAAGATGCAGAATGAAAGGGCTGAGAAGAAAACAAGAAATCCCAAGCACATCTAATTTCTTACAACTACCGGCAAGGAGCCATGCAGGTGAAAACAGTTTTAAAAATTGCTGGACTCTTGGCTGAGTTGATGGAATCACTTTGCTTTTTGTCTCTTTGGCTGCTATGATCTCTTGGATAACAGCAATCTTCACAGGAAAGATGATGGTATTCCTTCTCTGTCCCTCCATTTATTACAAGTATGTAGACTAAAGTGATAAAGAATGAATATGTAAGGAGTACGTCATTCTAAAAATAATCTTAAGCTTTTGCCTTATGTCTTTAAGTTATAAGCCAAGGGATGGGGTGAATTTTGTATTGATCACGTAGGAAGTCTGAGAGAGTCTTTTTAGTTGTAATACAAAATTGCTTTAAATGTCTTATGATCTGTGTGATCTATACATACAGTCTGATTTAGTCTAATATAGCCTGATAAATATCACTTTATTCCCATTTCATTTTCTGTGTATGCAGATAAGAAGTAAGAGGATGCCAACCTCTTTCTCACCCCTCCTTTATAAGCTGAAGTCTAAAAATAGGGATTTAGCATGGACCCTAAAGAGGGCTGACCTGAGACATTTTGATATCTCAGGTGTAAATTTACAAGTTTCCCCAAATTGACCTCACTAAGTTTATATTTCTCCTCGTTAATTTCACTGGCCTTTATTTTAAAATACCCAGTGAAGTGTATACAAGTTATTTGGGATCTACTTTCATTTTAGTTTCAGTACATTTTATTTACTTTTACATTTTATTTACTTTACCAGCCAGATGCTGGAATACTTTTTATGAGCTACCTGAAAATCTCTGTGCTAAGGAATAATTTTGGTTTGCCTAAAAGGAACATGACATTTCTTTCATGCTTTTCCACTAGATTCTTGTTGTTGGCTGTGGCAATTCAGAATTAAGCGAGCAGCTCTATGATGAAGGGTATCACAATATCATCAGTGTGGACATTAATGAGCTGGTTGTCAAGCAGATGCAGGAACGTAGCACACATCTGAGACCCAAAATGGCTTACATGGTCATGGATGTACTGCAAATGGATTTCCCGGATGGGCATTTCCAGGTGGTGTTTGACAAAGGAACTCTTGATGCCCTCCTGACTGATGGAGAAGAAACCACTCTGAAACAAGCAGAAAGAATGTTTGCTGAAATTGGCCGTGTCCTGCAGTTTGGGGGGCGTTACCTGTGTGTCTCCTTGGCACAGGCACATGTATTAAAGGCAGCTGTGGAATATTTCTCTCAGGAAGGTTGGATGGTTCGAATACACCAAGTGTCTGGCCAGGCAGCCGGCACTTCAGAGCAAAAATTTGCTTTGCCTGTCTTTGTTTATGTTATGACAAAGATCAGGCTGGTCCCAGGCTCTGCTTTATGCATTTTGGAGCTGTGTACAGAAGCACAAGAGAAGCCTGCCCGGTTCAAGAACAGTGAGCATCTGATCGATGCAGTGAAGGAGAGGCAGCACTACTCTCTGCTGCGGAGCCAACTCAATAAGAACTCCGGTGTAGGGACAATCTCTTTGGATCTCTGCAGCAAAGACACTGGCCAGGCCCGGTATACTTTATATGTAGTGCATAGCCCAAAGGTGAAAGTGTCACGTGACAAACAATTTGCCATCTTTATCAGTGAGTTAATGTGTTCCTTCTTCAGCCCACTTTATGAAGATCAAATAACATTCAAACAACCCAAGATCCTTTCTGTCTTTAGATATCTTTAGATTCTCTTCCTCAGACACTGCTAATATTGTTTCAAGCACAGACTGTTGAGCAGTATTTTCAGATATACTGAAAAGCAGTGTTTGGAAGGGTAGCAAAATCTATTCAAATATTATTTATGCTTTTGGTGAATTTGCTGATGCTAGCTAGCAAGTGGCCTTTGGGATTTTTTTCTCTATGAATTTACCTTCTTTCATCCCCAAAGAAAGCACCTGCAACTTTAAGCAGGTTCTTATCAGACAGGAAAAAAAAAGGTTAAAAATGGTTAATCATTCTGTATCGTAAAATTGCTTTCAAGTATCAATTCATATTCTGATATTTGATCTTACAGAATAGAGAGGAGTTAACAAAATAATTATTGCACTTTTTACAATGATTTTAGATATTTTTGCTTGCCCTCATTTTGGTGGATAAAAGGTCTTAATATTGCTAGCATTTGCTTCTAAAACATTTGAGTTGAGACCCAGACCTTAATTAATGTGACCATTTGTAGGACATACGGAGCTTGTCTCCATTTTTAGGTGGCCTACAGAGCCATTCACACCTTTCTTGTGTATCAGTTAATTGTGAATAATTGAATATAATATATATTGCTCTAAGAAACTAGAAATCAAAGCTCTAAGCGAGGATAAATATCAAGAACCACGGTCAACACAGAAAATCTATTCTGATTTAAATATCCCATGAAACTGAAATATAGAATCTGTACCTTGAAAGGCCCAAATGTTTGATGAGGCACAAATCCCTTCTATTGCTGTTCTAGTACCACAGGGCAGAGAAACTGAGTGGCTCTTTGGTACAGAGGAAGGACGGAAGCAGTTGGCTATGAGTGCAGGATTCTGGCGTCTGGTAACTGTGGCCTTGCATAGAAATCAACACTATGACAATATGGGAGCCATCCAGGCAGAGCTGTCAGAAAAGGTGATGGAACTGGCCCCCCTTGGTCTTCCAGCCCAGCAGCAGGTATGTCTTTTCTCTGGCTAATGACCAGTAAAAGGTCTGTTTAGTCCAGCATTCTCCAACTGTGGCCCACCAGATGCCTAGGGGAAGCCAACAGGCAAGATGAAATCACAGTTTGCATTCTTGCCTTTTAGCAACAAGTATTCAGAAGCCTACGGCTTTTGACAACAGTTAATATATAGCAGTTATGACTAGAAGCTCTAGGTAGGTTTTTTTTTCCCCCTCCATGAATTTGTCGATGGTGTGAGGGCTTCTTTGAGAAATGCTGTGTGAATTTGCCAAGGATACTTGTATAGCAGAAGCCAAAATAAATTTGTTCTATGACCTCTTTCCTGCAGAAAGGAGGGCCACTCAGAACCTCCCTGGCCACTGCTACTGCTAGATCAGGCAGAAACAGCAATCAGGTGACCACATGTCTTGGCCCAATACCTAAGCTTCAGTTTGGATGTGACAGAAAATATGGGTCTATTCAAGCCAAATACACTAATCATCTTTAGAAAGGTTAGGTGGATCAAGAATACTTAGAATAAAATTAGCATTGCCTCTTGCCTGTAAGAATACCAAAAACACAGTGTAGAAATCTTTTTCTGCCATGTCAGTATTGGTGGTGGGAAAGACTACCACCAAATCTAAGATCCTAGAAAGCTGTGATCCTAGTTCAGACGGGCAGAGCGGATGGCATTTATAATGTGCTTTGTATTCTATTTCCCTGCTCCTTGACAAAGCTTTCTGTAGGGTGGTGGCTTCATTAGATTGTCTTCTCTTGCAGGTGCCCTTTCTGTCTGTGGATGGAGACATTGGGATCCGTACCATCCAGCATCATGATACTAGTCCTTTTAGTGGGGAATATGTTATTGAGGATGTGAAAGGAGATGATGCCTGCTATTTCCGCCGCCTTATCTTCCTCAGCAACAGGAATGTAGTGCAGTCAGAAGCAAGACTTTCATCCAGGGTATCCCACAAAGGTCAAATGAAAGCTGTGGTTACCAACTGTGGGCTACTGTCTTTTAGAATGGGGCTCTGAAGAGGAGTATTATGGGGAATGGATCTAAGTGGGAGGCATGAACTGCAAGCTTTCTCTCCAGCTTTCTGTTGTTGATCAATTTAAGGAAATGGTAGAAAGAAGCATAGAGACGGGCTAGTAAGGCGAGGCAGTGTTTTTAAATTCCTGAATGCAATACTGTATGCATTGCTGTTCCTCCTGTCTAGCACCTCGTGTATTAAGATGTGCAAATCCACACCAGTCTTTTCCACCAGGTGAATTTATGGCCCTTCAAATGTTGTTAGACTACAGCTCTCAGCATCCCTGACTACTAATCATGCTGACTGGGCTGCCAAGAGTTGTAAGTCAGCAGGATCTGGAGGACATCACTTTTACACAGCCATCTAATAAAAATGAATTCCATCTGTTTTGAAATTACTCAATAAGTTGTTGAAAGCAAAACTATCAGAAATGGTTGTGGGAAAAAGGTATAGAATTCCAAACTTGAACCCATTGCGGGGGAGTTCAGGGGGAGGAGATGGAGTATTTTGAGCAGTTGTCTCCTATCCCAGATAATTTCAATAATCAAACTCCCCCCCCCCTCTTTTATGGTTACGGTAGTATGCTTACCCATCTAAGCTTGCATTGTTTTCCATGGGCCAGGTAATAAGCAGAAACAAAAGCAGAAGAAGAAAGCGGCCTCCAGAGACCATTTCAAACCTGATGCTGAAGCAGGCAATCAGGCCATTGACAAAAGCTACTTGTGTTGCGCTCACCACAGAGCTATGGTTGCAGGACTATGTCTGCTGAAAAGCCCTGAACACCTTCCAAGTGAGTAGGAAGCCACAGAACCAATTTTTCGAGTTTGGCCCCTGAATGTTAAGTGACATTCGTGTCAGGTCTCTGTCAGCCATAGTTAAAATGGTAGGATCCTGGTGTCTCTATGTGAGGCATTTGTAAATAAGGTTATGCCTCTAGTCTCTTCCATCCTCAATTCATTAGCAATAAGAATGAAGTTTGAAGGGGGATCATAGGAGTGCTAAAATATATAATGCATATTCATTCACTAGAATTCATTTGGCCAGATTAAACTGAGGAGATGCGTCTGAGCAAATGATAGAAAGAAAGAAAAAATGAGAAAAGCAAACAGACCTGAAGTGCAAGCTACAGTAATTTGTTCAGCCCCCAGAGCTCTCCAACGTTGTTCTGTCAAAATGTGCAGCAAATTATCTTATTTTTTTTCCTCTGAATTTTTTTCCTATCCAGCTGTGATTAGGGTGGCTCTACATGTAACCAGAACTTAGGGCTATCAGATCTGAACTCTGAAAATCCACATGGCCATTAGGTGGCAGCAAAGACTTAAGGGTTTTCTGTATATCTTTCCTGCCATGTACAGTGGTATCTCTAGTTATGAACTTAATCCGTTCCGTGACTCTGGTTGCAACTCGAGTTGGTCTCAAGTTGAGGTAAAGTTTCCC